TAGTGTGAGAAAGTAGCAAAGAGGGTGAAAGTGGTCATTATGTCTTCCAGCAGCCTAAGCCTATAGCAGCATAACTACAGAGATAGTTCAGGATAAACTAAGCCACTCTAACTATAAGCTTTATCAAAAAGGAAAGTTTTAAACCTAGCCTTAAAAGTAGACAGTTTGTCCATCTAGAGCCCACTGATGACCACAACGATTAGGATATCTCTCTCTGTCAGATTGACCATAACCATTGGAAAAGAGAGGGGGTCAAACAGGTAGCAGAAATGGAGGGTGTGTTTGCACCTCAACCATAACTGAGCCGGTTTAGGCTAAACCTGACTCCCCCTTACTCCATCCAACAAGGGGAGAAGAAGACAATACATTATATACATTGCTCAAAAAATTAAAGGGAACACTTAAACAACACAATATAACTCCAAGTTAATTTAAACTTGTGTGAAATCAAACTGTCCACTTAGGAAGCAACACTGATTGACAATCAATTTCACATGCTGTTGTGCAAATGGAATAGACAACAGGGGGAAATCTTTGGCGATTAGCAAGACACACTCAATAAAGGAGTGGTTTCTGCGGGGGGGACCACAGACCACTTCTCAGTACCTATGCTTTCTGGCTGATGTTTTGGTCACTTTTGAATGTTGGTGGTGCTTTCACACTCGTGGTAGCATGAGACGGACTCTACAACCCACACAAGTGGCTCAGGTAGTGCAGCTCATCCAGGATCAATGCGAGCTGTGGTAAGAAGGTTTGCTGTGTCTGTCAGCGTAGTGTCCAGAGCCTGGAGGCGCTACCAGGAGACAGGCCAGTACACCAGGAGACGTGGAGGAGGCCGTAGGAGGGCAACAACCCAGCAGCAGGACCGCTACCTCCTCCTTTGTGCAAGGAGGAACAGGAGGAGCACTGCCAGAGCCTTGCAAAATGATCTCCAGCAGGCCACAAATGTGCATGTGTCTGCCCAAACGGTTAGAAACCGACTCCATGAGGATGGTATGAGGGCCCGACGTCCACAAATGGGGGTTGTGCTCACAGCCCAACACCGTGCAGGACGCTTGGCATTTGCCAGAGAACACCGGGATTGGCAAATTCGCCACTGGCGCCCTGTGCTCTTCACAGATGAAAGCTGGTTCACACTGAGCACATGTGACAGACGTGACAGAGTCTGGAGACACCGTGGAGAGCGATCTGCTGCCTGCACACATCCTTCAGCATGACGGTTTGGCAGGGTGTCAGTAATGGTGTGGGTGTGCATTGTCTTTGCAGGGCTGCACGGCCCTCCATGTGCTCGCCAGAGGTAGCCTGACTGCCATTAGGTACCGAGATGAGATCCTCAGACCTCTTGTGAGACCATATGCTGTTCCGTTTGGCCCTGGGTTCATTCTAATGCAGGACAATGCTAGATCTCATGTGGCTGGAGTATGTCAGCAGTTGCTGCAAGATGAAGACATTAAAGCTATGGACTGGCCCGCCTGTTTCCAAGACCTGAATCCGATGGAGCACATCTGGGACATCATGTCTCGCTCCATCCACCAACGTCACATTGCACCGCAGACTGTCCAGGAGTTGGCGGATGCTTTAGTCCAGGTCTAGGAGGAGATCCCTCAGGAGACCATCCACCGTCTCATCAGGAGCATCCCCAGGCGTTGTAGGGAGGTCATACAGGCACGTGGAGGCCACACACAATACTGAGCCTCATTTTGACTTGTTTTAAGGACATTACATCAAAGTTAGATCAGCCTGTAGTGTGTTTTTCCACTTTAATTTTGTGTGTGACTCCAAATCCAGGCCTCCATTGGTTAATAAATTTGATTGCCATTGACGATTTTTGTGTGATTTTGTTGTCAGCACATTCAACTTTGTACAGAACAAAGTATTCAATGAGAATAGTTAATTCATTCAGATCTAGGATGCGTTATTTGAGTGTTCCCTTTATTTTTTGAGCAGTGTACAAATAATGTAGTAGACTAAAAAAGCATCTACCAGGCCTTTACTGGCCCATTTCTATTTTTTTTCTCTCTAAGGATTGAAAGGTATAAAACTCATTTGTGTAAACTTTTTTTTTAATTCAGCAATTAATTAAAAAATGAATACAAACACATTTGACCATAAAAGAAAAAATATGCTGCAAATTCTTTAAAAAGAGGTGGTAATCTAACAGAAATGTATTATTTACGCGATTATTGCCATTCATGCATCAAAGCGCATGGCCCTCAGTGTTATCAGATTTTTACTGAACTCAACACAAAGTAAATATACAGAAACATACAGACTTTAAAAAATGGGAGCTCTCAGCTTTAATGAACAGTAAAGACGGTGTAAAGCAGGAGCTGAAGCAGACATCATGAACCACTGACCTGCTGTCAAACGGTAGAGGTTCGTTTTGTCCTTTTTTAATCGTTTCAGATGTTTCCATCTCACTGCGTTCATAGTTCACCGATTTTACTTCTTTGATTACAACGTGTGGAGTTTTAAATGTGCCAATCCATCTAAAATAATTAAAGCTCATTTCCATTTTTCATGGTGAGAGACAGCCATCAAATCATCTTTTCCATAACCTGCTGCGCTAAAACAGGACAAGCTGATTCACATTGACGACAATCCATTCAGAATAAAGTCTTGATTAAAATTTGTCTTGCACAACAGATTAAAAATTATATTGTGTTCATTCAATAAATCAACCAATCAAATCAACTGGTTTAATGCAGAAAAACAAACGTGTTGATATTTGGTAGAACCACCACTCAAATAAAAAACAAAAGTTTTGTCTCATATGGCCACAAATCATGTAAGAATGGCAGACTGCTGCAGCGTATCCCAGCACAAAATCCTGTTTACTGGGCCAGATTTCAGCAGGAGTGGGAAGCCAAATCTTGAAATTCCGTTTCTGGTATGACACACAATCCCACTGGCCATAATATATGTTTTGATCCCTTGCAGGAAAAAAAGGGTTGTGGTGATTATGTTTAGTTTAGTATAATACAGTGTGCTGCTCAGTGTGGGTCCCCAATTCCACATATGGTACAGGGCACCGTGACCCCGCTAATCTTCAGGGAAAGGCCCATTTGTGGTTGATTCCTGCTTCTGTTTTGGTCAAAGCTGGTAGACAGTTTCTTATAAGAACTAAAACTTTAAATCTTTAAAAGAAGAAACGAGAGAGTATTGCTTTTATGGAACTGACAAGGAGAAACCAATGAAAATGAGATTTTATGTATTAATGAGCCCTAACAGAATAACTCCTCAAATCCACAGCTCCTTTTAGCTTATTAAAGCTTCATGGCAAGCCTCAACACAGCTGTCCTCTTACATTAGAACGGTTATGACTCATTTTCACTGCTCCTCTTACACAGTTTCTGGCAGCTGCAGCTGTTTCCAGCAAACAAATCCCTCCGTTCGCTATCCGTGACTTGCCAAAGAGCTGACAGAAGCAGTTAGGGGCTACCTGGTAAACACTGAGCGCATTTATCTGCCAGAGCACCTTAGAGTTCCCTCAGCAGACCAAAGACGGAGGAAAAAAATTTGCCTTTCCAAGTCTCAACATTGTCAGTGGCGAAGACTCATTATCCTAGATTAATTATTATGATTATGCTCTTCCATCCTTTGATTTGTTATTAAGCCTGCCCACTCATTGCAAAGCCAGAAAGGTCTGTCTCCAGGAGCCAATGGACAAAACGTGGGATGTACCGTAAACCAGATGTCTGTACCCTGCAGCTTTTTGAAATCTTCATGGTGGATCTTAAATACATTGGCCAATTATAACATTCAAATAAACAATGTCTTATTTTGGAAATATAAACAGAAAGGCTACTTTTATCAGCTCCTCCATCAGTTTGCATACCATTTCTGCCTAGAATTTCAACCACAAAATAACATGGTAAAAGGATTTTAAACCTTTTATATCATTTGGTTAAAAAGAAGCGAAGGACCCAGTGGGGCTCAAGCAATATTTGTTAATTAGTTGTAGATTTTTGTTTTCCTTTGTTCTAAAACATGAAGGGAGAGAACTCAATTCCTTCTTCAATTTCACCCAAAAAGCAGATTTGTATGAAGTAGCTATTTATAAAATTGATCATCTACCTTTCTACTAAGGATTGTGTGGATTTGTAAAGCTTGCTGACCCCTGCACAAGACAGATCACTACTGTATCACAGTGGTATGAAGCTGATGATGATGTTCAGTGAAATGGCTGGATGTGTTGGTATATACTGAGTGAGATTTCATAAACATCAAGTCCAGTGCATGCTGCATCTTAGCATTTCCTTAAAAAAAAGAACACTCTTGTTGATCTGTGCTGAACATCTTGAATGCTATGTGTATATTTGTATATATGTATATTTAAGGACACAAAGATATATGCATAATATATCTTATAACGCATAAAAAAACAAAACCCAGAGAGCAAAGGCTACCGGAGTCCAATTCCTTGTTTGTATGTACGAACTTCGCAATGAAGCTGATTCTGATTCTTCTACCACTGGCTCCAGGGCCCTCCATGGCCCCCTGCTGGTTAAGATGCTGTTGGGGTAATCATTGATTGTGTTCATCTACCTTTTGAATGATTTTCTCAGCAAGGGATGGAGTCCAATTGACACAAGGTGTGGCAGTCATTGCTCTACTCTTTGGGATATTTAATAAAAGCCCAAAGCCGCTCCATCAAGGAATGAGCTCATGGAGGAGGCTCACCATGGAGAGTCATATCTATAATGCTTCACTTTAAATACAGTCAGTTAGTCAGTCATTTTCTACCGCTTATTCCATAGTGGGTCGGGGGGAAGTTGGTGCCTATCTCCAGCAGTCTATGGGCGAGAGGCAGGGTACACCCTGGACAGGTCGCCAGTCCATCGCAGGGCAACACACAAACAACCATGCACACACTCATTCATACACCTAAGGATAATTTAGAGTGACCAATTAACCTAACAGGCATGTCTTTGGACTGTGGGAGGAAGCCTAAGTACCCGGTGAAACCCACGCATGCACGTGGAGAACATGCAAACTCCATGCAGAAAGACCCCCGGCCGGGAATCGAACCCAGGACCTTCTTGCCGCTAGGTAACAGTGCTACCAACTGCGCCACCGTGCAGCCCACTTTAAATTCAATTCAGTTTATTTTTTACCGCCAAATTCCAACAACTGTCATCTCCAAACAAAGACAAACTGGTTTAACTCAAATTCAGTTTTATCACATCTAAATGAGTCCCAATTCAATTCAGACTGATTAGATTCATTCCAATACAATACAGTTTTCAGTCATATTCTAATTACAATTATTAAGCAACAAAGTCCATTTAAGTTGATATAATGCCAGATGGTAAAAGGTTGTCTAAGGAAGCCCAGCTGATTGCATTGATCCACTCACTTTGCAGCAATCCCTAATCCTTAACAAGCATGTAGCATTTATCTGCATCGCACATTTGAGGAAAAAAAGATTCATTATTTCAGTATTTGCTGGTGTCCTTTTTGATTGCTTCTGGGTAAACCAAAACACAAAAATAGATTTAATTAATGGCCCAGCATTGCCTTTTTGTATCTTACACAGGAGCTTATTCAACTTTATCACTAACCAAGCCAGGCTGCCTCAGATTTTTTGGGGATGTTAAAAACTCTGCAGCATAAAAATCACAACCTACACACGCACAATATACCACACACGAGGCAAAGCAACAGAATTTACACAAGCGCTACTCAAACGTTGCAGAAATAATTTATTAACATTACTTGAGGTCATTCAGGCTCAGCATGCAGAACCCTTGAAGTCCAAAAGGAGGTCCAATTTTCTGATTAGCTCAACTTCTATTTCTTTGACCACTTGGGTGCATTCAAGTCTGTGTACCAAACACTGAGCTTCCATCTCCAGACATTAAGTGGAAGAAAACTAAACGTGACACTGACATCAAAGCAAGAATAACTCACTCGGTCTTTATGCAGTGGTACATTGTAAAGATCTCTCTATTCATGCTGGTATACATTCAAAATATGCAACTATATACATACTTCATATATGTGGCAGGAAAATTAACTAAATCTGCTTTGTTTCTTCATGTTTAGGCCACTGTAAAAACCACCTCTAGATACACCAAAATACATGGCAAGATAAACAATTCAGAATGTTGCACATAGACTTAATGTCACGGCCACCCTGAATATTGCTGCTGACTATGTCCATCCCATTATGTCCATCTTCTAATGGCGAATTCCAGCAGGATGATGCACCATCTCACAAAGCTGAGATCATCTCAAACTGGTTTCTTAAACAAGGCAATGGGTTCTTCAGATCTTCGAGATCACCATGGATGAGTAGCAGACAGATCTACTGCTGTTAACCTTCTGAATCTATACCACAAAAGTATTAAGGATGTTCTGAAGAAAAACGGAGCTCCAAACCAGTAATACCACATCAGTCTGAATCCTCCTTTAAACCAGCAGTATTTTTTAGCTTCATCTCCAACCTGATGGATTTCAAGGGAAAACATTCATAAATGGACTTAAATATGCAGCCAAAACGTAGAACATGAGGCAGATTCTTGGTCTGCTGTACAACAGATTGACTGGATCTTTACATCTGCCACATGAGACAGTTAAGGCCAGGGCGATGGCACTCATTTTCTCCTTATGAGGAAGTTAGGAAGTTAAAATCTGAAATGCTTAGAGGCTTCACACGCACACAAAAAAAGGAAAAGTATGTCATTGGAGGGAGGTCAAGACAGCTGAACTGACAAATCCCCGAGAGCAAAATATGTACACATCAGACCAATGATTATACAGAAGGATGTAGGCAAAAATAGACAGAGAGCAGCAAGAGCACATAGTATTAACATTCTGCTTCACTATTATACGTGCACATAATGTTTAGTTAGACTTGTTTGATTCTTAAATATGCTCCAGAGTTCACTGGGAAGGCCACTGATTGTGACCATAACCTGAAGGAAATCTACACAAAATTTAAAGTAATTTTGAGAATGGATGGCTATATTTAGCTAAAGAATGTCATGTTCTGTCCCTAACGCAGAAAAAAAAGGAAGCTGATCATAGCTGCTTAGACTACCATTTAAGGACAGAATAACCAGCTATCAACGTACAGGACGCAGAAAGGAACACTGGGGGTATAAATCTGACAGGAGAACAAACTGATGACCACTAATGAACGAGCAGCCACACATTAAACTCCCCCGTCCCTGTCGTGTGTGCCGCCTCTCTGTGGCTCCAGTGTTTGCAGCAGAATCGTGTTTTTGTCAGGAAGATCCAGCTGAAGCAGATATAACTTCTGTTTTCTGATCGCTTTAGCAGAGAAGAGAAGATACAAAGCGTTGCAGCGCTGCAAATAATCATAACTGCACCAGCGTGAGCTGATTACTCAGTATTTAACCGCTTTCAGAGAAAAATGGCATCACAGTTTAGAAGACATGTAATGCAAAAAGGACCCTGGGATAAGTCTTCATGACTGTCAAATCATCAGCATGTGTAATCTTATTGGGAGAGGCTGAGGCTTTTTTCCTTCCTGGCTCGCTTTGAACTGAAGAACATGTCTGAAGGAGGCTCTGCTGGGCTCTGTCCAAGGTCAGCAGGGCATGTGTGTCTCTTTGGTAGCAGGGTTTATTCTGGCTGTTCTACAGCCCCCTTAGCCATTTTGACAGACAACAGGCTATGTTTGGTAAGCTGAGGTGAGGCAGCACAGAGCTGTTCCACAGACGGGCACATCTGACCTCAAAGAACAAACTGTGTTGAATTTAATCTTCCATTCATCAGGTGACCAAATCCACTCGGACATGTAATCTTTTTGCAAATCAAAAAGGTAATATCTGCCCTGAACTGCAAAAAATGTCACAGGAATATAAAAATAGAACAAAATAAACAGCTTTCCTGTGAAATATTACAAGATAAATTAACTGTTTTCAAAACTTCAAAAATCCACAGAAAAGAAAATATTTTCCTTTGGATTCTTTTTTTATAATTTGCATGTTAGGAGTTAAAGAAACCTGCTCACTTTGACTAGGACCACGTCAATCTGAAAATTCACCATTTAGCCCCCTGTTCAGATTTAGTGCAGTTAAACTGGTGTGAAAACCATGAGTAAAGTCAGGCCGATTTCCCAGCATTTAGAATAAAAATGTATAGCACGATCTACTGCTTGCTTTTATTTTGTACAGAAAAGCAATAATTACTCCTACTCCTAAGGTGTTGGTTATTAACAGTTACACATTCTTATAACATTTATTTATCGCTACTTCAATTTTAATACATAGAAAAATCTAAGAAAAAGAAACACTAAACATGGTGGCAGAGTGATCATAATGCTACATTTTCAAACTCGATACCATTTTCGATGCTGCAGCAACCTTTTCCTTTTCGGAAAGCGTAGGCTCATTTCTACTAGTAATTAGAAAAACAACCAATATTTCTGTCTTAGCTGCTAAGTGGCAGCAGGTCTTCAGTGTGTTGTTTGCTAGGATGAAGACGCTCCTAACTGAGGGTAAAATAGACATAACTTCGATCCTAGCGATTCAAGCATTTTTTAGAGTTTCTAACAAAACATTTCTACTAATAACTTAGACTGAAAAATGCTGCTTTTGTTACAAAGAAAAACATTAGTTCATACCATTTCAGCGACAGGTCATTTTTGAACAAACTACGCCAAATAACAGATTGGACTCGACTTCTACTAAACACATTTTAAGTCATATTATCCAGCAAAATGCAATTAGTTAATACCTGGATTTAGTCACGGACTGCTAACTGAGCATATGCTGTCCCTTCTCCCTCCCCCGCCTGTTTCTGACCACTGCCAGTCATGATACCCTGGTATTTTTACTCAAGGTGATTGCAATGCGGGAATCCCATACGTTAAACTATTTCAGCCTATTTGCATTCAGCCGACATCAAAATAATTGCATGTTTTTAAAAGGCAGGATACACTGCTGTTAATAACGGTAAAAAAATAAATAATGATACAACTAATTGTTTTAAGACAAAATATTTAAAATTGCAACTAAATGTTATGGTCCCTTTACATCCAACCTCCAAAGTGTTTATAATTCTAGGACTTTCTTATGTGACAGTAAGGTGAATATTGTTTTTTGTTGTCGACTCAAACATGTATTTTGTTTAGGAAGTCCCTCATTAGGAAGAAAATTTTACATTAAGAACAGTTTCAGGCCGGCTTATTAACCTAGTTTGGCTTCTTCGTGTTGTATTTTTATCGCTGGCCTAGAAACAGTAGTTCCTCTCTTTCTTTCACACACAAGAGATGAATAGCCATGCCAAATATATAGGTGTGTGTACAGTTTCTAACAGTTTGTTAAGCTTGTCCCTGTTAGGACATGCCACATCTCTGTTTCCCAGCACCTGTGTGACACTTAGCTGGTTGTTCAACTGTAAGGCAAAAGTACAAAACTGTGTTACTGATTTCTCAGCACAAACACTAGCTCAGATTTAGGTAGATCTTTGTGCTTGATGCTATGGGAGTTCTTCTTTGTCTCAGTCAACAGTGAAACAAGCCACCACAGGCAGGCAAGGAGCCAGTGTTTATTTTCACCAGTACATGCCCAGTAACACTGGCACTTGTCCACCATCTCACACACACACACACAAAGTGGGGGGTCCTGCTGCTGCTCCTTAGTCACAGTCACCATCCAGCTTCTATTGTTATCTTCTAGTAGGGCCAAAAATACAAGCACAAAAGCCTAGATGAACAGGTATCTGCTTTACTCACAGGGTCCCTACATATTTTTAATGTCAAAGTTATTTTTCCAGACTTCTAATTGTTCATTATAGTATAAATACGGCGCCCTGCGATGGATTGGTGACCTGTCCAGGATGTACCACACCTCCCGCCCATAGACTGCTGGAGATAGGCACCAGCTTCCCAACGACCCACTATGGAAGAAGCGGTAGAAAATGACTGACTGACTGACTGACTGATGACAGATTTCATAGTGAAATTATGGAAAATATTTCTACAGAGGTCAGGCTTTAAAGAAACTGAAGACAGAATGGAAGGAACAACAGACGGATTGAGGGCAAAGGATGGATGTTTTGTTCGGATGGATGGATGGATGGATGTTTTGTTCTGATGGATGAATGGAT